TCCCACCGGTCATCTGTGTGTACACACTGTCACCTGCCCTCTCGGCCCTGTCTCTTGCAGTCTTCCCGAGGCTGCTGTCCATGACGCTGAGTCCAGACCTACACACGAGGCATGGGTCAATTCTTGCCTGCGCGGAGGTTGCTTACGCCTTGTACAAACTTGCAGCCCAAGAGAACAGGTAGGAAGAGCGGGTCTGGAGGAGACACAGGGCTCCGTTCCTGATCCCCTTGCCATATAATTACAGTGCTCTCCACTTCAGGGCTATCTCATCCCTTCTAATTTTTGTTTATTTGCACCAGTGGCACAGTTGTTAGGCCCCAGGTTGTACTGACGGAGTGTGTAAGTGGCCCTCTCCTGACGGTCGTGCCGGGGTGGACCACCCACCTCTCTTCAGCGGGGTGCGTCACCCAGATGGGTTGGGCGTCTCCCCCTGGTCACCCTGCCCTTCCTGCCTCCTTGTGCACCTCCTGGTCTCAGAGGTGACGAGTGAGGTCATAACAGCAAAGGTCCTTTTTCCGAGATGGCATCGAGCGACTTGCATGTTCAGTGTCCTTTCTTCATCACGTCTGATAGTTTAAAATGCCAGAGAACATGCACTTTTCTTTTGAATTTTTCAGTTGGCTATGTTTGTACAAATAGTAATAAAGCATGAAAAATACGGGGTCGCTGGGAAGTTGTGTGCAGGAGGCTGTAAGGCATTGATTGTCTTACGTTTCTTCCCAGTTGACTCTTCCTCAAAAGTAAAAACTCCCAGACTTACCATAGTGATGGTGACCTGGTTCTCGGACTCCAGTTTGAGAAACGATTTTAAGTTATGCCCTGTGCATTGAGACAGTTCCTGGCAACGGATTGAGAGCAGGGTATGGGCCGCCTCCCGCCCCAGCCTGAGGGAGCTCTGGAGACAGTTCCAGGTGGAGAGCAGGGTATGGGCCGCCTCCCGCCCCAGCCCTGTCTCTTATACACATCTAGATGTGTATAAGAGACAGGTTAGAACACAGACAGTTAGAATACAGATAGTTAGAACACAGACAGTTAGAATACAGATAGTTAGAACACAGACAGTTAGAATACAGATAGTTAGAATACAGATAGTTAGAAGAACACAGACAGTTAGAACACAGACAGTTAGAACACAGACAGAACACAGACAGTTAGAACACGGACGGTTAGAACACGGACGGTTAGAACACGGACGGTTAGAACACAGACAGTTAGAACACAGACAGAACACAGTTAGAACACAGACAGTTAGAACACAGACAGTTAGAACACAGACAGAACACAGACGGTTAGAACACGGACGGTTAGAACACGGACAGTTAGAACACGGACAGTTAGAACACGGACAGTTAGAACACAGACAGAACACAGACAGAACACAGACAGTTAGAACACAGACGGTTAGAACACGGACAGTTAGAACACGGACAGTTAGAACACAGACAGAACACGGACAGTTAGAACACAGACACCCGCCTTCTGCATGTTTTCACCTTCACGTTTTGCTTCTTTGTTGTTATGTGGTCACCGTCATGATGATTTTAAGTCATGACCACTTGCCGCTCCATCTGGGTCTGGAGGGGCTGGGGGCGCGGGCTCTGCAGTTCAGTCCCAGCTTTACCGTCTGCCTCTATATGGAGCTCTGGAAGGAGAGGTGGGCTCAGGAGGTGCTCTGGCCTCTTGAGCTGGCCCTGGGTCAGCCTTCCGCCATCCCCACGTTCAACCGCTGGGTGCTTTCAGTGTGTGTCTGATGAGGCACTTAATGGATATGCGCCCCAGATTTGGTGGGTGAGCCTTAGGAAATTCCTTCTGTTCACCCCTTGTAATCCGTGGAGGGACCGTTTCACGTGGCTCTGTCTCAGACTCACATCCTCCGGGTAGTGTGGGGCTGGGGAGGCCAGAGACCCAGTTGCCACCTGACCCTGAGGCGGAATGGCACCTGTGTTCCAAGAAGAACCGTGGTTAGCCGTGTGACCTTGCTGTGGTAGACTGTCCCTGTCGTCTGTTGGAGTCGGAGGTTCTTGTGCTGGTTTGTGTGTGTGAGTGAGCGAGCCTCTGCCAAGTGGTGGGTTGACGACTGATGGATGTCGTCTCCCTCACTTTCTCTTTATGAATTGAATAAAGCCAGAATTGTCCAAGTGAAGGCACTAACGATGTTCTCTCCTCACTCTCAGGGTCATCCGAGAGCTGGCTGTGAAGGCGCTACACAACCTGACCCAGCGAGCGCCCGAGTACAGCGCCACGCAAGGTGGGTGTGTGTCCCGGCCGGCCTGCGGGCACCACGCTCGCGCACCGCAGAAAGGCCCGGGTTGCTGGTTTCAAACTCTGGGGGCTGAAAATAAGGTTCTGCGTCTGTCTTGGTGAGAAGCATCTGAGGAACTAGCTGTGGACTTGATCGGGGGACGGGCTGTGAGGACGGATGCGGTGAGTGGGTCCGCCCGCATGGCAGGGAGCCGCAGGACTGGTATGTACGCCGAAGCCCATGGTGGTCCCGCCAGACGCCTGACAGGCGGTGCTGCTTCCCTGGTCTCTAGTTGGCTTGCACCTGCCACACGTGACCTGCCACACGCGACCCACCACGCAGGAATGCACTTTGGAACTGGGCAGGGTGTATAGAAAGAAAGGGCCTGAATGGGAGACTCAAAGTCTGCCCAGGACTAAAATCACCTTGGAATGGCTCAGCTAAGCCTGCACTTCTTACGCTTCATCAATGAAGAGAGAAATCCCGTTTGTTCTGTCTCGTTCTTTCTACTTGGAATAAATAATCATCTGACTTAAATGTAGGGAAGAATACCACATTTCTCAACATTACCCTCACTCCCCTGACATTTATTACAGGGGCTCCACTGGAGGCCGGATTGTGGCTGTTGGGTGGAGTTACTGATGTGACGCCTGTGTTTCACATCCTGTGGGGGCTTGTTAATTCCTAAGGGATCTTTCAGCTTCGTGATCTGTGAACGAGGCGTCCATGTCACGGGTTTAGTGTGGTGCTGCCCTACTTTCCAATGCACAATTAACCCTTGCTGACACTGAGGGGCCCAGCTTTGTCCTGTCAGGGTGAAGAGCATGGACACCCAGGATGGGATTGTGACCTTTTGTAGATTTCTCTGATTCTCGAAAAACCTATCACCCCCAGCCGCCACATCTTAACCTCTCTGATTCTCAGCCCATCGCAAACCTGGCAGCACTTGGGAAGGCGAAGGCTCAGGGGGCTTGGTTTCCCCCGCAGGTGTGGCAGAGCCTCCTCCCTCTGTGGCCGTGAGGGTTCTGAAGAGTCTGTGCTTTCTGAGTAAACTCAGAGTAGAGGCACCGCCCCTGGGGCAGCCCTGCCTCCGTCCTGCTCCGCCCCCTCCACCACCCAGGCAGCCAGGCAGAGCCCCTGCCAGGACCAGAGGCCACCCTACACCGACAGGGAAGGCCTGGGGAGTGTGTCCTCCTCTTTTGTGCTGCCTCTCCTGTCTGAGTTACCCACCCCGTCTGGGGCACTTGGGAGCACGCAGCAGCCTCTGTCCTGTTACCCTTGGTGTCTTGGAGGCCATCTGCATCACCACGGGTGCCATCCTGGGTACTGGGGTGATGACCCTGAGGGACGCCACTGTTGGTGTGTGAGTGTGGTCGTCCCACAAGCCGTCTGTGTGTGCACGCTGTCACCTGCCCTCCTGGCCCTGTGTGGGTGTCTGTGGTCGTCCCACAAGCCGTCTGTGTGTGCACGCTGTCACCTGCCCTCCTGGCCCTGTGTGGGTGTCTGTGGGCGTCCCACTGGTTGTCTGTGTGTACACACTGTCACCTGC